GCAGGGAGAGGTAAAGACAGAAGGTGATCAAATGCCTGGGGTCCCTGTCATCTGTGGTGTACAAGTGTTCTGGTTACCCAGGCAGCAGAGCAAGGATTTGCTTGAGAACAGGCAGTTGGAAGGTGGTATTTTGGCAGTTGGTTTTGATGCCTAAAACTAAGCAGCATGTTGTGAACACTTGCTTTCTTCTCCCCCTGCCACAAACCCAATGTCTGCTTTTCATGATGTAAAAAAAAAAGAAAAATATTAGTACACATTCTTTGCAAAATATCAGTTGTTCCTTCCTCTGGTATCTGACAGTCTCTTTTGCATCTGCTCACTTTCATCATCTTAGCTTGTCAAGCTATCACACTCCTCCCTTAGGCTGTACATAAACAAGGTCTGTTGGTAGGGATGAAATGCTGAATCCCACACTGGTTTTGCTAATTGTTCCTCTGTCCCTGAGAGCTCCACAGTTGGTTCCCATCACGTTGGATGAAAGATTCCAAGGAAGCCCCTTTGCTGAACTCAACTTTGTGCCCCTTTGCCCCTCAGCACCAAGGGCTTGAGTTGCACTGTGTATTTGGATGGGACAGGGATGGTCACTGGGTGTTGAGAACTCATGGTTGGTGTTTGAGGCACCATGCTTCACCTTGCATCATCATCCATGCCTTTCCATGCTCTCAGGACCTGGGCTGGACATCTGTGCTGGCTTCCTCTCATTGCTTTTTATTTAACTTAGAGATGTGCTGTGGTTTGGCTAGTCTGGAAGTGGGGGAGCCCATGTAGGGTACTGCAGTGGTCTCCTCTTTATTGTGATCTTCTCCTGGGACCTGTTGTTTCCACAGTCTAATAACAACCCCAGAAGCAGTTTGCTCTGCTGAAAATGAAGAAAGAGAGGTTCTTGTTTGCTTGGCTGCCTGTTTAAGGACACCTTGGGACTGGCTAAGTGTGGCTGTCAGGGTAGTGGTGATGTCCAGGTGAGAGGATAATTCAAGGAGAATATAAAGTAAGTTGGTGATGGAAGGAGCTGAGAGTAGATTGATCTGGCTGATAGTGTCTTGTTCTCATTTTGTGGCTTGTTTTGTGTTCCAGTTTAAGGAACTACACTCTCTTTACTCAGTCACACACCAACAAATATCCATTTGAGTTTCACTTGAACAGTAGCACCCAAGGGGTAAAACCCTCTTTCTCCTGGCCTGTTTCCAGTTGCATCTTCCACTTGGGCTACAAAAGCATCGTCTACCTGGAGAGGACTTCCTGGTGCTTTCCCTGTGTGTGTGGGCAGAGCTGATGAGCTCAAGCAGAAGGGTGAGAGGTCCATGGTTTCCCCCTAAGCATCCTAACCAACATCACCTGGAATTCATGGGACTTGTGGCTCAGATGTGAGCTCAGAAGTCACAGGCCCGTTCACTGGAAACTTCTGCATTTTTAAGGTGAAAGGAGTTTGTGAGCAGACAGACACAAGCAAGCTGTGATTCTGAAAAGTGCTGACAACATGCAGGCTAGCTCCTGGCTGAAGAGTGGAAAAGAGGATGAATTTTAGCTCCAAGCCAAGATGTGTACCCAGGGTTGCATGCAAGTGATCATTTAGAAGGAGATTCAGTTAAAAAGAAGAGAACCAGCTGTGCAGTCAGTTGCATTTTAATTACATATTACAGGACAGCTTCAAGTGTGTGAATTCTGAGCATGGACGCTTAAGATGTAAATGCTACAGCATTAGTAAGCAGCTGTGTGAGCTGCTCTTGTCACAGAACCCATTTTATTTACATAAAACTACCATCAGAGCAACCAGTTGGCTGTCATGAAGTGATCAGGGTTGGTCCTGCCAAAGGATGTTGTGGGGTGATGAATTGTAATTGTGTTGGGTTTCTGAAGCATCTTGCTGTGCATGGGATTGAATGTGATGGTGAGAAGACAATGCTCTTCTCTGCCCCTCTCATCCTGCTCCTCCTCCTCCCTCTCCATCAACTCTATCACTTACCACTAGAGAGGTAAATGTTGCTGCCTTATTAATGGGAAGACTCTGTAGTTCGAGCCTAAATGCTTTTTCTTCACTGATTGTGAGACCAAAAACCCTGGAGACCTTAATCCAGCAAAACCCCTTGGTAGATCTGTTGGTGAACATAAATTCTTTCATTTCCTGGCTCTGTGGAGGGAGGCAGGTCTGTTCCTGGCTGTGTTTTTGTCCAAGTGTGGTGGTTGCTTCCCTGGGGGAGCAAGCTGTGGCAGGTAGAGGATAAGAGGCATTGCTGACCAGTCAGAGTAGGAAAGAGTATTAGTCTGCAAACAGTTTGAAGTGGTCACATTGAGCCTGAACAAAAGGCTGATGTGAAGAGAGACAGAAATCTCAGGGTGCTGTGCTGGGAAGGTGTCCAGACCACAACTGTGCATCTGCTCTATTTCTACTCTCCCTCTTTCCTTCTCTTTAGGTTTAGGCAGTGGGAAAGTAAATGTGTTTTTTTTAACCCATCTGTGGGAGACATACCTCATATTGTCCCTTCTCTTGTCCTTGTTTGCATCTGGCTTAGCAAGATGACACTGATGAATAAGGTGAGACGCTTTAAAGAGACCTCTAGTCTATGTAGAGGGGAAAAGAAACACCCTTAAATGGCCTATTTAAATAGAGCCAATCAAGTGCATTCTCTTGTTGTGCTCCTGTGGGGAAAATGTCTTGCTACTGCTTCATAAGAACAACAGTCTCTGAGCTACCAACAATGACTTACTCTCCTGCCACCATTGCTGCAGTAATTATAGAGGCTTTCAATGCCTGCTAATTTATGAGTTGAGTCTTTTCTGCCAGCATTTCTATTTACAGATGTTTGGGGATGCTGTGGAGTAACACAGAGCAATAGGAAAATGCAGGAAAAGGGAAATAATTCAGGTGGTTTCATTGAAGGGCCAGTGAAACTGCTGGAATTTGTTTCCACTGCATAATGCAGGCTGGTGTAATGGACCAGTGCAGCAATGAGCTACACTTGTCTGCCAGGGCCTTGGATCTGGAGGTGTGTGTCTGTTGAAGAGTTGTTGGAAGTCAGTTCAGGAGGAAGATTTCTTGCCAAATGATGAAAAGAGCAGCTCAGGAGCAGAGAAGCTTGAAAAAATGTACTTGGGAAGGATTCCTGTAGAAAGGACTGGAAGTAGATGGACCATCCTTTTCTGGTGGATGGAAGGATCCTGCTGACAGGTTTGAAAAAGGGGGAGGGGGGGAAGGAGCCTTTATTAACCTGAATTTCTGAGCTCCTTGGCTTTGTGTGTGAGCTAAGGCTGAAGTGAGACTTGCCCCAGAGTGACATGAACTGCTATGGACACTGAGACAAGCTCCAAATCCTGCTGCCATTCAGCAGCCACACACTGGATCAGAGCTCTGGGCCCCTGTCATGTTTAAGTGCCTCTCAAACCTCCATTTCAAAGGATGCAACTCTAAATGATACCTGAAGAGAAAACAGTCCAGTGAATAGCAGTGTCAAGTGCAGTGCTGTTGATTTACTGAGCCCATTCACCAAGAAGGGTGTTCAGAAGTACTTTCTGTAGCTTAGAAGCAATGAAAAAAGGTGAGGAGCCTTCTAAATCCAACTTCAGGAGGCCTTGCCAATGTCTGTTGTATGAGTGTGTGACATAAATGAGTCCCCAGTGCCTGCAGTTTGAGCTGCTGAGTGTAGGTTATGGCTTGCTTGGAAATGCCTTGAAGCCTTTGGCTACCCCAGTCCATCATCTTTGGAAAAGGTCACTGTCCAATTCCAGATTTCCTGGCTTTTAGTACCTTCACCTCCTGATCTCAGTGCAGGTGGTATTTACATAATGACCAGGATACATCATCTTACATGGGTAATAACCTTATGTTTATGTTCCTCTGCTATCCCCAAAAGCATCATAACGAGGTGGTGGGAGGCATCTCTTGCCTGTGTCCCTCTCTGGAAGCTGCAGAGATGCAGTTGATTGCAGATGATCAGAGAAGCTGAGCTGACATGGTTTTGCTCTTCCTGACTTTCTCTGCTGCCACCACTGGCCATGTCTGTGGGTTTCTTTGCCTGCCAGCTTTCTCCTCCCAGCCACACTTGGCCCTCCCCTCTGCTTTGGTTAGCAGTTCTGAGATAGCCTCGTGTTCCTCTCAGATTTCCCCTCTTTGCTGGGACCTGTGCAGCCACCAGACTGGCAAGTCTTCTCTCAGCTTGTTTTTCAATTAAAACCAATTTCATCAAAGAAAATCCTTAACTGCTTGTAACACAGCTCAACATGTGGTGCACAAACATCCTTACATCCCCATACAGAACTCTTCATCCTTTCCTACCTCCTCCACTCCTTTTTTGTGGTGTTTCAGATCTAACAGGGCTCTACTTGATGTTGGCTTTTTCTGCTGCTAATCCTGTTGCTCATTTTCACAGGACTCTTTTGGCAAATGCTACTAAAATGCTCTGGTTGCTACCTTGTCCTCTTTTACTCCCATTTCTAGGAACCTGGCGGGTGTTTCTTACAGCTACTGATATCTCTGATATTTGTATTTAATTCTGGTTTGTTGGGGTTTTTTTTGGTGTAACCAACCATTCCCTCATTTTCTTTCCTTTTCTAACCCTCTCCCCTTCCACCAGGATTTCTGGCAGGTACAAAGCAGACAGCATGTGCTTTGACTGATTTGTGCTTCAGGCCTCATAACCTGCACTTCTCATGTAAAAGGGACAGTTTACACTCACCCCTCCTCCCTGCTCCTTGGATAAATAACTGAGTTCCTCTCCTTGGTCCTTAGCCTAAAGGATTTATCTCAGAATACCTGAATTTGGCTTGTTAAGAGGACAGTCCTCAGGGTAACAGTTAATTTATGGCTTGATTACCAGGAACATCTTTGAGCAAAACTCAGATGTGCATCTCCCTGTCCTCTGAATTTCTTGGTGTTGTTTGAGGCTTCTGGCTTCATTTTGCAGTGTGATGAGACTGTGACAGAGCTGGCTCTGGTGGGAAATGGCATTTTCTGCTCGAGGCCACAGAGTTAGTTTTACTCTGTGGGAAAGGACAGGCTTCTCTCTGACCAAATGCTTTGGGAAACATTTTGGGAAACATATTTGGGGAAGGTTATTTCTGCAAACCTGAATTTTTCAAGTTTTTTACACAGAGCTGTGTAGTGTGAATGATAACAAATACTATTTTAGGAGGGGAAATACTGAGGTACTCTAGTTCATAAGATGGTTTCTGGGGAAAGGAGCTAGAACATAAGTCATTTTGTTCAGCGTGAGTAAGGCAAGAGGGATATATACTCTAAACACTTCGAGTTTGCCCTGTAGCTTTGTGACCATAATGAAATCCTTAGGGGAAGTTAGCAAAACAAATAAGTAACTTGGTAACAAAGTGCCCTTAGTGGGTATGTGAATTTTTTTAATCAAAAGTGGTTTATGGGTTAGTTTTTGGCTTTAAATCCTCTGATAGAGTTGTTTGTGTTAGGTTAATACTTGATACTCAAGGGATACAAAGCTGAGCTCTGTAAACTGTCCTTGGGTAACAACAGGAGTTACAGGGAGGAGAGGGAAGGAGAATGGATTGAGCAGGGTGGGAGGGAATGTTTTAGGAAATGCCTGACCTCACTGACTACAGAAGGAGGGGAAGTTTGGATGGGAGAAGCAGGTGAAGGAGAGAGTGGAAGGAAATGGCAAGATTTTAAGATGTAACTTGATTTGGTTCCTTAAAACATTTGCAATCAGGATGACAATTTCTAATTACATGAATACTTGTGGTTTTTCTCCGAGCCCCTTTGCCCTTTGGTGGGTGATGAGCGTGCAGCCCCAACCTCACCATCTGAGCCAGAGATGAGTATTGCTTCTTATTCAGAGTTGTGTACAGGCCTGTGCTCTCAGACTGGAGTTCTCACCCAAGCAAACGAGCAGCGTGTTATGGATGTGCCCGGGTCATCTTGGCCACGTGGGCTGAGACAAGGGAAAGCAGGATCCCTCTTTCCATCTGGAGACATAAGCAGCCATTTAAATTGCAAGGTGTCAGAAGTCAGCTCATTTCAGAAGCATGATTTGAGACATCAAGGACCTAATTTGGATCCTCCCTCATCAAATTTCCATAAGGAATGCTGCTGTGGTCCCGCAGGTGGTGATTTCATTCCCCTGCAGAGGGCTGAGCCAGCAGGGAGCAGAAGTGTAGACTGTCCCTTTTCCCAGGCCTTTCCAGTTTGCTTTTCCAGCAGGGGTTTCTCCCTTGCATGAGTGGGTCTGCTGCCTGCCAAGGGTCTGTGGCATTTTTCTTGGTGGTACAGAATGCTGGCCTTGCATTTCAGGTGCCATTTGTTTTAAAGGTGATGAATATTTTACAGCCTTGCTGGAAGGAGGGAATGCAGATTTCTCTTTCCAGTCTCAGGAGACCACCTGTGGTAATAATTGCTGCCTACTTTTTAATTCTCTGGACGTGCTCAAATTCAAATTCAGAGGGAGACTGTGTGCAGAACAATTTCATCCATGTTCAGCTCTGTATTTTTGTCCCCCTGTGTATATAAGTCCATAAAATGACCCCCAAATCAGAGGTATAAAAAAACCTCTTTATTAAAATACCCTCTTGCTGGGTCATAAGCTGCAGTATTTCTCTGACAACAGTATTTTAATTTTCCTCTGTTAACACCACCTACCTCTGTTTGCCATGCAGAATCTGATTGTGTTTGCCTGTGTTAGTATGTAGCCTTCATAGTAAATCAGCTGGAATGAAACTGAACTTTTCCATCACAAATGGTCTCTCAGCTTCAGAAACTCCTTGTACTGTTTCCATCATCACCTTAAATACTTTTTTCCCGTTTAGTGATAGATAAGAAGTGATATAAAATCTCAGGAGGTGCATCTAAAATGACTGACTTTGCATTCACATTAGAAAGGTAGATTTAAAAATCCTAAATCCTCAGTTCTCCCTCAAGTCCATTTTAATTATTTTGGCCTTTTCTCACAGTGCAGAGGGACCCTCCTCTACCTCTTTTCCCCTAAAGGGCTTTTGAGCATCAGGGTTGAAAAATCTCCCATTTTTTAAAATCTGATTCTGAAAGCCTTTTTCTTTCTTGGTTTCAATTTTCTTAACCTAGGTGGGTGAGGTGCTGACATGAGTTGTATCTTGAAATCTCTAACTACATGGCTTGGGTTCTTTAAAAGTTACATCTTCAAAAATCAGCAAAATTAAAAATCTCACCCATTGCAGAGTCAACAGTTCAGCATTTTGCTGCAGAGGGAGTTCAAAGCATTAGTATTTTTAGTTCCCATAGCAGGCTGCAGCTTCCCCTGGCATTTCTGAAGGGTGTTCAATTTTACAAAAAGCTTTGTTTCCCATCCTTCAGAAGGATTCCTGATAGTTTTTTATTTATGAAAATAATCTGCTGAGTGAAGCCCCAGGTATCAAGGTGAGCAGGGCTAATGGTGCATCACGTCTCTCCATGCTGCTTAACGTTACATGCACAAGTACTAATGGGGGCTTGGTTTCTCATCTTTAAGAACTTTAATTGGAAAAAACACACACATCCCAAAATGGCAATAATATGGGGGATCATCTTTACCTCATCAAGCCAGAACACTCAGAAACAAGGAAAGAAATTGTCTATATGATGCTAACTTGTAACACAGATTTTTTTTTGCCAACTCCTGCTGTGGAGAAGAGAATATTTCTTTTTAACACTGAACACAGTGTTTTTAACTTCTTTTCCTATTTGCCTACAGCTAACCGTAAAAACAATATGTTGTCTTGAAATGGATTTGCATTCCTTAAGGTGGTCAGTTGGGACTGAAAGAGAATTGCTTTGCAGCAAGGTGACTTCACTGAAGCATTCATGGTTTTGGATTTGCTTACACAATGTTGGTACCCTTCAAGTATTTATTTTCCAAAGGAACAAACTTGTCAGTAAAATATGGTTCTGGTTCATCTAAAAATTCTTACTAATTTCCAAAATGTCTTCTCATTCTCTTGCATGGCCTTTGGTATTTATTTTGTTGTCATGTTGGAAGGGGTAAGTCACTGTCGAGCGGTCATGTAAGGCTGAGAAATCCCTGAAGCTTTGGTGTCCATAAGTACTAAGGTGATGTTGAAACCTGAACAAGTTACTGTGAATAAATGTGCCCAAAATGTGCTTTCTCCTCCAGATTGAAGCACATTCTGTTGAACTCTTAAGTGACTTAACAGGAACATCTTGTTCCCCGAGTGCCAAATGAGATGCTGCTCATTAAGTAGCTGCTAAAATGCGAAGTGAAGTGGATCTGCAAGGATTTAGCTGATAAGGCTTTTCTAAACCTGAGCAGAGCAGACACCAGCACTACACCTTGTGTCTGTTTCTGCAGAGAAGGCATCCCTTCATTGGCAGAAACACATATTTTTTGGTTTCAGGTTTGTGTAATTATTAACAGGTTTTACTCATCATTCAGCCCAGGGAAAACAATGTTCAAGTCCCAAATAAAGGTAGGATTTGGTGAGGAATGGAAGGAAGAAGGAATGCTATGAAGATGATCAGAGGGCTGGAGCAGCTCTGCTGTGAAGACAGGCTGAGAGAGTTGGGGTGTTCAGCCTGGAGAAGAGAAGGCTTCAGGGAGACCTTAGAGCACCTTCCAGTGCCTGAAGGGGCTCCAGGAAAGCTGGGGAGGGACTTTTCATCAGAGAAGATGGTGATGGGACAAGGGAAGAGGGGAGATTTAGGTTGGACATCAGAAAGAAATCCTTCACCATGAGCGTGGTAAGGCACTGGAACAGGTTGTCCAGGGAGGTTGTGGAAGCCCCATCCCTGGAAGTGTTCAAGGCCAGGTTGGATGAGGCTTGTGCAGCCTGGTCTGGTGGGAGGTGTCCCTGCTCACGGCAGGGAGGTTGGAACGTGGTGATCTTTAAGATCCCTTCCAACCCAAATAATTGTATGAATCACTGGGGTTCTTTTTTCCTGAAACCCTTTGGGAGCTGTGCCATGTACTTGGCTCGAGGGAGGCTCCAGCAGTAGATCATGTTTTGAGGTAGAGTGTGTGAAGTTTGTGGTCCATCTCTGGGTGCTTCCCTTGCTTGCAGCCAGCCCCTCCCACAAGTCTGGGGAGTTGCCTGTGTGTGGCACACAACTCAGCTTGGGGTTTTTGAGGGTGAGGTTGGTCACTATTATTGCTACATTCCACCCCTGTTCTGGTGCTGTTTGTTGAGCTTGGAGCCTGAGATGGAAAAGGCAAATCAAGCTTTGTGTTTTGAATAATGCAACTGCATTATTTTTTGTACCTGGTGTTGATGTCTGGAATTGTAAAATAATCTCCTGAAATGCCTGTAGAGAGTTTTATTCCACTGAGACTGAACTGGCAGCTTTTCACTGAACTTAAAAAGCCATGCTTGTGCTCAAAGCCCTGGGACATTTGGAGTTCTTTTTCTTTTTCCTTGGGTGGTTGCTCCTTTCTGTGCCTGTTTAATGTCAATCTACTGCTTGATTAAAAAATCCATCACACGTGTGAACTGTTCGCTGTGGCTTGTTCACCAGTGAATGCTCAGTTTTGAATGTTTTTTTTGGGTGTGCTGAATGATTTTAATGGGTTACTCTGTTTTTGGGAGTGGATTTCACATAGAAAAATGTGTAAATGGAAGACCTTTGTCTGTTCTAGCTGAGCACTTTGAGAGAATTAGCTTGTGTTCAGATACAAAGGGGTGTGAGATGTGAAAGTTGTCTTGAAATGGCCTGGGTAACTAATTTGTGAAGATATGCCTCTAAAAGAGGGTGGAGGCTTGGAAAAGGGGCTTTTCCCAACTTTTTCTAATGCCATGCTTTCCTTTTCTGGCTGGAAGGGATGGTACAGTCAATGTGCTGAAAGGAAAGAAGGATGTGGAAAAGAAACTTGATGGCTGTAGATGGTGATTTTAGAGGTGTCAGTGAGGACTGCCTTGGGGTTTCCCCAGCTGAAATTTGGAGGGATCACAACAGTCCATGTTATGCTTTGTACAGAAGGTAGATTGATTTATTTATATGATTGGGGTTTTTTGTTTGTTTCTTTTCCTGGGATTTTAATAAAATTCTGTAGAATACTATGTTGAATGGTGGGGAACAAATTGAGAAGGATTCCCCCTAGTGGGGTGAGCTTCCTGCATACTTTGTTGGAAGGAATCAAACACTCACCTTCTCAGTGAGCCAGAAGAAAATAAATAGGAGAGCTGTGAGGTTTGTTGGTGTTTTTTTAAAAAAAAACTTCTGTCCTCCTAGTGCTGAGATTCTGAAAATCTTATTGATGGAGTCAGTTATCTTCTATTATGAAGGTCAGTGGGAGAAATTCCCTTTCCCATTATCTGCATGCAGGCTGAGCACCACAAGTCACAGTGTATGTTCCCCTTCCCTGTGCTTCTGACAAGGAGATGCTTGTTTAAAATACCTTTTTTGCTTTTTAAAGTAAGATGTAAAAGAGTAAATGCTTCTCCCTCCCATCTGTCTAAACCTTTATATTCCAGAGAGCAAATAAGTTAGTATCTTTTCTTAAACTGTTGGTCTGTGAACATGGTTTTCTGCTGATGAGGAATGTTTGGAGCTGCTTGATGCTGACAGTGAATTTGAAGTGCAGAAAGGCAGCCCATAAATTAATAAACTGACCTCTGGAGCTTTGTCCTGGGATTTCTTGGAGCGTGTGAAGTAGGCTGCTAATAGTTGATGATGAAGGCTGCAAAAGACTGGCAACTGGGGGCAGAGGCAATAAATCACAGGAGCAGGTGAGATGCTGCTGGCAACCCTGCCGGCAGTCAGGGCAGAAAACTGCTTTCTCCACAAATCCTGCCTTCAGTTTCAAGGAAAAACTGGTGGTGTTTGTGTCCTTAGCTGTAAGCATCAATGTAAGTTTGCTTCACAACTTCTCAATGGAAAGAGGGAGCAAAAATATTGGGTTTCTCAGTCACCTACTTGAAGCTGGTGTCCTGTAAGCAGAAGGAGCAGTTTATCTTGCATGAAATGGGTGTCATTACCATGTTGGGAACTTGCCTCTTGTTAAATTCCTGCTTTCCTGCTGCTCTTCAGGTGGTAAAGGCAGAGCTACTGGGAAAAGTCTTATTTGACCAATAAAGCTGAACTTTTATTCCCCTGGAAACTGGTATTTCTTTGGTGATCTATATGATTATTTTTGTCTCTTTTCTTGTGGTTTCCGGGCCAGATACGGGTTAAATTTTCATCTAAATTATTAGCTGAGCTCATCCCCACTCTGCAGTCACAAATAATGGTGAGTTCTCAAAAAAAAACAACAACTCAAACCAACCAAAACCCTGAGGTGGATGAGAGCCATCAGCTGCAGAGAGTGGGTCTGACCCAGAGAAGCTGCGTTCTAACTCTTGCTGGGATGTCTCCTTGGGCTTCTTAGTGGTGCCCAGTCAAAGCAAAGCCCCTGGTTGCTTCAAGACTTTCTTGCCCTTTGCAAGTCTAACCGTTCAACTTGATGTTATGTTCTGTCTGCTGATTTGATTGTTGGTTAACCAGTTTTCTTTCCTTTGTCTTGTATATGATGGGACCTCCGCTAGACAGAGGTAATGGTGGGGAACAGCTCTGGAGCTGGACCCTGGTGTGGTGGTGTTTGTTGGTGGTTCTTCCTAAAGTGTTTCCTGAATCTGGCTTTGCTTTTCACCCTGCTTCTGTGCTTGCATGACCTGGTTTCTGTGGAATAACCTCATCCCTGCCTCTACTCTCCTTGATTTTAATTTCATTGTCCTTCATGTGTGTGCGTGTGCCTCCTCTTGCTGTGTTCTTAAAATGGGTCACCAGTGTGGATTTCCTAACAGTTTTAGGGATCCTTTTCAGTCTTTGAAGGCTCTGCAGATCAAAAGGACTCTGATTTTTGGCTTAGTAAGGGATACAATAAGGCACGTGGTATTTTTGTATCAAAGCAAGGTGTTGAAAAAGAGCTGGAGCAAGAGAGAGGCTTAGATGGGTACCAGTCCTGGTCCTCCTGGTGAGCCTGCTGAA